TCGCCGCCGCCGCCACCGTCGGTAGTGATGCTGGGTGTGGGTGGGCAAAAAACTTTCGCATGTTGCCCTCCCGCAATCGATTCTTTTATACATAGATATTTTTTTTCTCCAACGAAACGAGAACTAACAATTTTTCTCTTTCTCTTTTCTTTTTGGCGCGTCGGTATCGAGAATATATTTATATGTACAGGTTGCAACTACGTAACATCCGTTACGACTGTATATCTGCGAGCAAGTTTCATCGATATGGGAATTAAGCGCGTCGTTGAAACTCCATGCGTACAGGTATGTGCAGCTACACTTGCTTTACGCGCGCCGAGCCCGAAACTTTATTCGAACGTCGATGAATAAAGAAAAAAAAAAAAGGAGAGAGGAAAAGAGAGAGAGAAGGGAAGTTTTGAGTGCAGGCTTTTCGTTAGGTGTAGCTTCTGCTTTACCTGGAAAAGTTTTTCCGATGTACTTTGCAGATAGCTTATAAAGGTGATATCCTCGACCGATATATCCTTGATGCAGCTGATTTTGATCAACCAACCATAAATTCCAACTAGATGTTTTCTTCTTCTCCTTTTCTTTATTTCTTCGTAGTGAAATAACTAGATTGAAAAAGAATAAAGTAACAGGTCGGAAAAAATTAATTTGAGAACTCGATCCCAACTTGTTTCGTTATGACGCGCAGTTTCGCAATTCGGCGCGTTTTATCAATTGTTCTACTGGAGCAAAACGCAATGACCTACAGACACACATGCACAGAGGGTGAACCATGGGCCTGCACGGCGCGTCTCATTATATGCACAACGTAATTTCCATACAAAGTGTGCGGCACCTCATAAACTGCACCGATTATTAATAATGCATCGTCATCGTGCTCGGGGCTCTTCTTCGCTCGGTGTGTATCTTCGTTGCGAAACATCCATTGACTCGAGCGAATATTCGTGTCGTCGCGCTCCGACGCGACACTACCCGAGACGCGAAGCTCGAGTAAACGCAAGTGTAATACATTGGCCTTGCTCACCCGTCCCCCTATTCTTCCATTATTATTTTCATAAAGTGCAATAATGTAATCCCATCAAAAGTTTGGGGGAAAGCTCGCACTGTGCCTCATCGTGCGCCGAGGGTTACGTATAGCGAGACAGTTTCGAGCTTATATTATTATAGGCGGGCACAAAAAACTTGTGCGAGTTGGTATAAACCTCAGCTCTCGAGTATTCTAGTCTAGGTAGGCTGATCTCGGCTGAGAGTCCTGTAGCACCGATGCTATATTTGGCGCGCACGCTCGGATAACTACTTTTCTCTCTCTCTCAGCCAGCAACAGCACCGCCGCCGGGAGCTTTACTCGTTGAGAAAACGATCAATCTTCCTCCTCGGCTAGCAGACACGCAGCAGCAGCAGACTCGTAAACGAGCATCGGTCTCTCTCGCTCTCTGTCGTCGCGTGAATTCTCCAGCTATCCCAATACCGTGGGGAGAGGGAGCTAAGGTGAGTTTAAACAAAACAAAAAAAAAGAGAGATAAGAAGGAGCGAAAACGAGGCAAACGTGTCCACGAGCACATGGGTAAACTATACTCATTTATACCTGCCAGAGGATCGGGGGGCATGAATGGTACGCTCAACGCAAGTCAACCTTGATGAAAAGTCATACATATGAGTGTGCACGACGAGAAAGCGTAGGGGGACAGCAGCAGTGATGCACTTTCTTTCTGTCTTTTGTCTCCTCCCCTCAATGTCATGTACAATAGCTGCCTTCGGTAATCTATGCATCAGAGAGAGAAAGAGAGAGAGAGAGAGAGACACCAGTTTACGTCAACGAGCACGACGTTGTTGCGTACATTACGCGCAACCCAATCTTTCGATCATTGCCGCACTGCTCGTTATAGATCCGACCACGTACATTATCTGGAATATTATGCGATGTAATATTATGACACTGACTGTTTCAAAAGTATAGTATATATTGAATAAGCGTAATGCAGATACCTATTCATCCTGCGCCTGGCTGAAGATGTTGTTGTCGTTACGCGTATAATAGAGCCGATGCTTTCGCCTGTAATTCAATTTTCAAAAGAATACGAGCCGCTATTTATGTGGAAAAGTAAAAGAAAAACTTGATCAAAGCTCTCGCATTAAAAGTTTGGAAGTACCGGCCTTTGCGCGAGTCATTAAAGTCGCGTGGGGGCTGGATGTCGGTGATTTCGACTAACTCATTTATCTGTCACGTGGTAAAAGACGTACTGCACACGCTTCGCGCACGAAACGATACGTATAGCCCATGATACGCTACATGTGCTGCGAATAGATGTTTTAGCCCGAGCGCATTCTTATTATTATAGCGTAAAATTGTCCACGTTCTGAAGGCCCCCGACATCAAGTACACTTACGGCTGCAGCTGAGTACACTTTTAGATTCTGTCGTCTCGATTAGTCATAACTTTTTTATTTCCACGCGAAACGTTACTTTTTTACATTTACGCGCGCACAAGAAAATTTGCTGCGTTTTTCTCACGAGTAAAGTATGACTTTAATCCGGTTGCATTATTCGCGAGCAACAACAACCACACAATTGAAATAAAGAGCTCGGGCATAAACATAATTTCTGCAAAATAAGAGAGAGAAAGAGCGAGAGAGTCGAGAGCGAATCCGTAAAAAAAACATTGCAGAGCAAAAATAGACGAATATCTAGGGCAGATGATCGCTCGAATACGTTGCGCGTTATTAAAATCGATGAAATAATCGAGGCACAGACCGATGTGACAACTTTAGTATCGATGCTGAGTATCTCGGTTGACTTTTCCAACGACCGAAATCCACTCGTCGAGCTATAACATTTGTCGAAACGAGACTCTTGTCCACGCCTCGCCTGCACTCTCTGCTGTCATCGAAAAACTCGTGCATTCACCATACCCAGATTTTATATACCGTATTATACATTGTATACGCTACATAGCGATACACTCCGGGTACCTATACTACACCGAGTGAATTATTATCGTTCATTATCGCGTCGCGCAAATTAATACGGCACAAATACAACATAGAGAGGATCGCACAAGTGTCATTTGAATTATTATAATCAATAGGATGGACTTAGAAGATATATTATAATAATTAAGCGATAGCCGGGCCGCCGCCGCCGCCACCGCGTGTGCGCCATCGCGTCCTATATACCCATTAAAATGATTGTTTTGTCACTTCCTACATTGTGATCTGTGGCGGCGTTAGCGGTGATGCTTATATTATAGACGCACTTCAATGAGTTTACGCAAAGTAAAAATAAAAGCACCCGGAGATAAAGAGATAAGAGAGCCGATCGATGGATAAATTGTCTACAGTTGAGGCTTCCGTTTTAGCGCGACTCCGGCATAATACGATGCGACTCGCGGCGTATCTCACAAATGAACGCGCGCGCGACCAACGTATTTTCTTTTCGATCGGAAACGTGATCGTCATAAGTTATTTATAACAATATATATCCGGGAGCTGCAGTAATTTCGCCGATTGAATCGTCCCCCGTTTTGTTTTAACGACTCAACGGCTATGATACAGCTGGCGGCAATTCTTCCCTTTGAGCGCAAAAGCGGCGGCGACTCGTCGACTCACCGAATTGAAATTTATCGGCGATTATCCCACCGATCGTTTCTCAAGAAGACGTGTACTTACTGCTGCACGAGGACAATCGTCCTCGTAGTTGGGTTCGTTGGTAAAATTACGGTCCTCTGCACGTCGAGACTCTGTATGGATAAGGTATATTTATTATCTATAAAAAAATGATCGAGCACGCGAAAGATGTGCGGTTGTTCTGTATTCAATAGGGGTCGTCACACTTGATGTGTCTGCGCGCCTCTTTCTTGGCACCCCCGCAACACTTACACACACACACTTTTCATCGGTACCTTTTTTTCGATCATTTATTTAAGGCCTATACCCTCTTGTACGCGCGAAAACATTATTTGCAGCCGTGATGAAAGGTTAAAAACCTCATTATTATTGATATTTTTCCCATGCAAAAATGTATGAATTCGACGAGAATGTAAGTAATAAATGCCGGTAATAAGCTTCATTCATGTGGCTATCTTAATCATCCAAAATACGTCTGGAATATTTAGGTCAACAAGTAACTTTATATCACTTCCGATTTTGAGAACAAATTTGATAGCATCGGTCGGAGGCAACAAAACTTGCTCTCGCGCGCTTATACACCACAATACAAATACGAAGAGGCAACCAGTACTTTCGGTCAGCGCGTAGCGCTTTGAAGTCGTCACGATGCTCGAGCTCTCTTCGCTCGAGCTTTGACTAGCTAATGAAAATCTAATAAATATACATCTACGCCAGAGGTATGAATTGTGTGAGCAGCAAAGAAAGTCGCCGGAAATCTTTCCTCTGATATTGTGTACGTGTGCAGCATCGCACTCTCCGCTTGCGCGTGGCCCGCAAAAGCTCGAACATCTCCTCGGCTGTCTCGGGGTATAATCGGAAACGAGAAAGCTCCGATGCTGCATGGGCGTAATGGAAGATCGAGCGTATGACAGTATCAACGTCATTCGAAACGCGCGAGAGAGAGCGTACGCGACTCGACGTATACTTTTTAGCCTGAATGTGTGCAGGTGTATTTGTGTGTATCCTCGTTCGTTCGTACCTGTGTTCTAGCGCTGGTTGAGCTGCTGCTGCAGCGACGAAAGCTCGCGTATATACATCAGAGCGTCCGCGAAAGCTGCAGAGAGCGCCGGCGCTATATCGTGCGTTATAATACGTATATACGCAGGGGTTCATAGCAGCCAGCGGCGATGTCTATGCTATATGTTTGTGCTCTATATGTGTATATACTCTGTGAAGAAAAGGCACGTCGCCGCGCGCGTTGCGTCGGGCTCGAGGCAGCCACTGTATAACAACGCGCGCGCGCCCCGAACCGCCCGCGAGCAAGAGAGAGAGAGAGAGAGAGAAAGACAGACAGATACTGCGTGAGTAGTACCTCGTCTATGTCTGCCTGTTGTGCCTTCGCGTCGCTCGCCCCATTTACAACCACCTGCTCGCGGCGGAAGCATCATCGTTCCGACGATTACGATTTCGCAATCGGTCCAGTGCCACAGTAGTGTCTCGTTGACGGGGATATAATAATCGACGATTTTTCGTCGAGAGCTGCTAGTGTGACAGGGTGCCAAAGAACGAAAAAGGAGAAGAGGAGAAAGATAACACGAGTGCGACCGTCGATTTCGCGTAAGTTTAGTTGAAATTACCGGCCCCCCGATCGCGTGCAATTGCCAAGAACTAGAAGCAAATTGACGATTTTTCTTCTTTTTTTTTTGTTTCGTATTAAGAAACAAAAGTGAAATGGTAGATGAGAGTGAAATTAATTTTTAGTGCTTTAAAAGGAACTAATCGAGCTTTGATCCACTAGAGCAAATACAGTGACATTTTTAAATTGTGTTCATCGTTTCGTTGAGGTTTTTTAACGTGAAAGCTTGCAAAACAATTTTTTTTTTTCAATTTGCATAGAAATGAGATTTTTTTATAGTTCAATTTCTATGTTGACTTTATGCTATTTTCCATATCAGCGCGATAAGATTCTTATCGATATTTTACTCAAATTTGCTTGTAAAATGTATGCTTCGAGTAGAATAATATGATCATGAAGTGACTTTATTTTCACTGTAGTCTTCTTTTTTTTTAATGTATACAGAGCTTTAATGAAAAAAATTATTTATTTAGATATTTTTTATTTATAAGAGCGATATTTTAAAAATAATTATTAGGTCTGCGTATTCGTTAGGACAGTGAAGTGATTATGATGCACATGTCGAGTCATAATTTTGTCCATTTTACAGATCAAGGATAAGTTCTATTTTTTGTCAACCAAAAACCAAGGATTAGAAGTCTGAGAGAGAGAAAAATGGGTTCGTTACCAACTAGATCAGCATTTGTTGTGACTGTCTTTCTCTTCACTTTGTGCTGCGTTGAAATTTCAGCTAAACGTAAGTCCAGACATTGTTAATTATTCATCGCCCTCTCACTCATCAAAATCATAATATTGTGTGGCCATGTGTGCAAAATATAACTTTATCTATTCTGCATTCAATTCCATCATGTTCATCCATTAATTAAACGCTTAATAAAGCGCGTACTTACTTAAGCCGACCTGTAAGAGCAAAGCCCCTTGAGCTTTCGTAGACTACCACTACCCGAGAGGCAAATTATGCATTTTTCAATGATATTAGTTAATCATTTTTTACCAGTCCTATTTTCGTGACTATTTATAGAAGCAAAATATGAAACGTCGAAAAACTCATAATTTTTTTATATTCATGTCTTTGCACCGCGATAAAGGTATAAAAATGACTCCTGGTATTACCGATTTTTATTTGCTCAAAAGCCACTCATGTGACCAGTAAATATTCAAGCATCAACTCCGAATAAAATTTTCACGAAGCGTCGTTTCGAAGTTTATCGCAAAATAGAGTGAATTTAAAAACCCAATTTAGTTAGAGCTTGAAAATTGTTCAACAACTTTCAATGGACGTTCGTGGGCTTAAATAACGCAAATTTGTAGGATTACATCGCATTATTAATGTCACAGGTAAAATAGTCATTCGCACAACAAGAATTTCGTGACGTTCCGAGGTGCCATTCGGATCAAGAATAATGTTTACTGAAGTTACGTTTTAATTCACAAGCATCTGTCTTGCGTGAAAAGTCACTTCGTCTTGTGCTTAATTAGAAACGCCAAAACTTTGCATATTCCGTTAATTTAATTTGATCATCATTTGTGCGAGTATTACATGAAATGATGAAATAGAATTATCCCACAAAAGTTTCTTTGACTACTCCAATAAGAACCTGAGGGGTCGCGAAGCCTACGGATACGACGAAATTTTCAAGGTTTCGTATAAAAAAACCCTCCATACATCATATACATGTATTTTAATAACTTATCTAATCGGAAAGTTAATCTTGGGGCGCTTTGGTTCTTTTATGCAGCTGACGTAATTCGTAGTAATTTTTCTCGCAATGTTTTATCAAGGCCAATAGAATTATAATATTTTGATAAGTAATTAATAAAATTATGAAATTATTTTTTATACAATATTTATAAATATTTTGATCAATTTATAAATATATTTCCATCTTCAAAAATATGATATTTTCATGTGTGAAAATTTTATAAAAAAATTTAATGAATAAATATTAAATTCGTAAATTGATTCATAAATCGTTATTCCTTATCCAGTAAATAAAATTTAACGAAAATCGAAAGTTCGTCAACGCTGAAGCCCAATTACCATCATTTGTTTCATATTTATTTTATTGAGTAAAAAGTACTGTTTCTACCTTTAATATTGCTTTCTTGCCTTAATGAGTTCACATTCAATAATCATGCTCGGAATCAATTTCAATTGTGGCACGTTTTCGTACACGTGTCAATGCATAATTATCTGCAATGAACGCGTGATTTTTTTTATAAATGTTAAATTAAAAATATCACAAAAGTACAATAAAACGAGCGAAGAAAATTCGATAAAAAATTGATGGGAAAGTTACCCTAAAGCAACAAGAGCTGAGGAATTGGCATTTTTCTTTTATAAACCTCATGGTTGGTGTTGTTATATAACAGAAACTCTGTACACCATCTCTGTGCAATTTTACAGAAATACTAGAATTTTGTTAAAGGTAAGAGATCAAAACTCAGTACACTATTGATTGTTTGGCAGGTGGCTTTAACACCTGATGAAATCTTTCAAGTGAGGGGTTTATATCGCTGAGAATTAAATTCATATCAATCGAAAATGATCAATTTTGAAAGAAAATTTATAAAACCTTCATGTTAAGAAATACAATTTTGAACATTTAAAATGCGTACCGTTGAAGATGGCTCAAGCTGCTTGTATGATTCCAACTATAAATACGAGACTATAGAATTCAATCGGATTAAGGAAGCAACCTTGTGCCTCTATTGCGATTTAAATCATTATGGTTAAAAACAACTGAAGCAGTATAGAAAAATAAGTTATTTATTAACAAAAGTTTTGTAATATCTATTCAAAATTTTTTCCATCTACTAACAAAGCTTTCTAAAAACTTTTAATTAGATTGCAGATGTACTTTTGAAAATGTTAATTCAAAAAGGGTTTCCGGGATTTCATTTTTATGAATAATTGTTCAAGAAAATTAAAACAAGTGCCAAACAAATATTTCATAAATAATTCTAAAAATTTAAATTACTCTTCGTATATAATAATTCGCACGCGAAGCGCATCGAGTCATTTGTAGCGGTCGTGCTTGATATAATGTTCAACATACGAGAGTCTCTCACGTGAAGCTCGGCTATACACGTGCGTTATAATGATCACGTTTCTATGGTTGTGCTTTTTTCGTTGTATTTATCAACACGCTCGACGCCTGCAGCCTGGCGCATCGAGTCACCGTGAAACGACATTAGATTTCGAATGTACGACGTGTCCAGCATTATGAATTCATTATTACACTAGCCTAACGAATCTTTGATTGTTTGATGTATTATTTTATTGTAATTATGGCGTTTTGATTAGAGGATTACGCGATTATACATGGATCTCACCTACAACCAGACTAATAAGGTATTAATAGATATTGCACGAAGCAACGGTGGCATTCGCGCTTTACGAATCATTACTCGCGCAAAACTGTTGTTATTATAGTATATTAGATTATTTTATTTTAATTGCCGATTTCTAAGCTATAACTGCTTGCTCAAATTTGTGTAGACTGTAAATAAAGTGATGTGTATATTAACAATTAAATTGGCAAATTCATCAAGCAAAAATTATGAAATGTTCAGTGGATCATTTGAATAGCTCATTTATATACTTCCTCGAAAATCTCTAATACTCAATAATACATAAATTACTCGGTCAAAACTTATTAAATTTCAACAACTACAAAGGAGTTTCATCGATGACTTATTGGATTTGTGGTTTTGTATTTTTGACTTTACGAATAATCAATCTTTTGACGTTCAATAGAACGATTCTATGTTTTGACCCCAAGAAGCACTCAACGATTTTGCTAAAAGTATGGAGTCATGTTAATTACTTAGCGTGTTTCTTATCAACACTTATCTTAAGCTGTTGTGGCAATTCGAAGTCCGATTTACTGCTGTTATTTTTTTTAATACTTCCGTTTAGTTTGGATCGACTTTTGCAATATAAATCAATATTTTTCTCGTGAACTTTCATATTTTGTCCCCGATAATAATTATTCAAAAATAAAATATTGAATTTTAAAACGATTAATTTACTGAATTTGTATTACAGGCGGTTGTTCAGCATTTGGCCATTCCTGTTATGGAGGACATGGGAAGCGTTCCAATATAGAACTAACAGATTTCAACGAGAAAAATAAAGATGAGGTTCAAGAAGAATATGACCTTGCAAAACCAAATCTTGAAAACGTGGCTTACGTTCCGTCACAAGGATTTACTCGAGATGGATTCAGATTGGATAATCGAGCGATCGATAGGCTCCCCTTGCGTCTAAATCCAAACTCTTGGTCACTGTTTATAAAGAAATTGGTACGAAAACAATATCTCTCTCTTTTTTTTAGAAATTTTAACTTCAAGTACTAACATTCTCGCTGATTTTTAGATGACAACAAATCGTCATCCATACATGACTTATGGAGAAGTACAGAAGTAAACGCTATACTAAACGATACATAAAAATTACGAAGAAAACAATTTTTATCTCTAAACTTCTCAGCTTATCAGTTTTAACAACTATCTTCTACTTTCATCCAACAACATGGTTCAAACGTATCATATTAGCTCATCAGTCTACTTTAAAATTAATTACAAATTTTTACTAATAGTTGATGCCATATTTTGGTCTGAATAAACCATTTTGATGCTGAATTATTTTAGCAAAGAGCTAGAAAATTGTATGAACGATTATCAATCTACGAATTGTTGATTCATAGTTATTGATTTGCTCAATTGAGAAATTTAAGTAGCAACGATTACTTTTTCAGAAATTTCCTTTTCTGAAAGTACACTTCCTGAAATCAAATGAAAGAATACATTTTTCAATGTATAACAAGTAACTGTATTATTATGAGAACGAGCTCTCAAAAATAGAATATTTGACGTTGTTATTCATGGAAGTATGTTCTTTCAATAAAATGTAAGTATCATAGCAAGTAAATTAATACAAATAGTACTTTTGACTAAGACTACATCGTTCTCAAAAAATGAATTAAATAATCTATTTTTAGTTAAAGCTGTCTAGTCAAACTCTGTCTATATTCATGATAATTTGAATGAAAAGTATTGTCCTAAATATAGATTTTATTTTTCAAGAATAACATATAACTATTTTTAAGAATAAAATTAAGTTATTCGTAAAAGATATATACAATTATTTATATGTTGAAATTTATGTATAAATGTATATAAATTTTGAAACAAATCTATTCATGGAGTATGAAATACATTGATTGTATTACATAAATGATATGTACTTCAAAATTTAGCGAACATTGTTGTTTATTTATGTTTATTTTGTAATGAAAAATAATTTTAATATCTAAAAATAATCTTTACATGAGTCTGTATGAAACATTTTTCAATGACTATTTGTAAATTTTTCATACAATTTAATGAATGTTTATAGTTTTAAATAAATTATTTTGTCATAAAACTTGATCAAAATACTATATCTATATCATAGTTTGAACAAATTCTTTGCGTTCAAATTAGTTTCTAATAATTTGTATGAAAAATAAAAATTTAATTTCGTATTTACCGAAATTTTTCAGTTACATTGAAGAAATAAATGTATTTAAAAAACCTAAAATAGCACGATTTTTTTCACTAAAGTCCTTGACTCTATGGTTTATTTCGTAAGTTTGTAAGATATCGCTAAAATATATTTTGACGTCACGATAGAATTAGTTATAAAATTATTCATGCTAATAATGTAACTCACATATTTAAAAATTGAATTTTCCGATATTTGTTCTTGTCTTTTCTTATTCTATGAAGATTTGTCGATTATCATTTAATGGCATTGCGAAATTGTTAGTCAAGTATGTTATACACTATCTCCGGGAAAGATTCTCAACATAAATGATTGATGATGACCAGAAAATTATCATTTGTAACGTTTCAAGTCTTTTTTATGCCTTTATGTTGCAAATATAAAACGCATTTTAAAGGAATTTAAAATGACGTTCAATCGTTCCCAAAAATTTAATTCAAATAGAAAATCAAAAGACCAGTTTTCAACCAATTTACGATAATACCATTTTAAGCCTTCACCACTAGATGGCAATTTACCTATATAAATCGTATCAAATTATCGAAGTAAAAATAATTGTGTAAGTCAAAGAATGGTTTTTAGAAATACTCGTGCATTTTCTTTTCTTGATGAATTAACTTACAATTTGAATAATGAATTAAATTTCAATTATAGAAAAGTAAGATACCCATTGAAAGTTGATTCATTTGGTAGGGGAGAGCGGGGTGTGTTGGTATGTTAGGTAAGTTTGCAAAAATGCATATTTCTCCATATCACTAACTTGTATAGAGATAATACTATTAGTAGTGCTAGTCAAGTCATTGATTAGGAGAAAAATGTCATTTTGCCAATTTACTTCACATGCCAACACACAGTCATGAAATATTGAAAAGAAGTTTTGGTTAGTATATGTACAACTTTAATGGCCCTCTTATGTCCAAGCAACTTTTTTGTTGGACAAAAACTAGTCATACAATATTGAGCATTTCTACCAGGGATATCGCGGGTAAAACAACTTGAACACTATTTTCTAGTACCAGCTGATTAAAATTGACTAGGCAATTTTTAATTTAAGTTTTTGGAGCGTTTAGATCACTAAAATAGTATATTTGAGTCATTAACTATCAAATTATTGTACTTATTGTATCAAAAAAAGTTATATAATAAAAATAGTTAAAATGTATCATATATTAACATTTTTTTGAATTTTAGAGAACTTGATTATTCATAGCGACGGTACTCGTTCAGTTTTTAACATAATTTTTGGATGTTCATTTATATTTACAGTCAGCTTACCGGAATTATGATAAACGTATCTGTTTTATAAATTTTGATTGTTTTTTTAGATAATTAGCATTATTTGATTGATTTCTTAAGTGGTCGGGTAATTTAGTTTTACTCTATTTACCGTGGATGATATAAGTTTAGTGATTTCAAGGACTCATATTTATCGACTTTTAACAACGCAGTAGGTAAGTTAGGAATTGTGCTTGTTACTGGCATACCAATGAATCCTTCATATACTGTGTATAATGCAAATAGTGAATAAATTTTGATTTTAGTATTCAATAAAATAAATGAAAAATAATAATTTTTTGAAAAAAAAAAATTAAATACATTCGATTAATGGTGTATTTGTTACTGAAGCCAACGAAAGCAAAATTTTTGAACTTCTTAATTCTACATTATTTTTCGCCATGTTTTATATGATTCGGTATCTCATGGTTTAGTGTAACTAAGACTACCATAATTGCAAAATATTTTAACAAATTTTTCAATTTCTATATTTTTATTATGCTTTTATTATTATTTTTATTATTTCTTATTTTTACTCGATGTAGTTCTTATTTTGAAATAAAATTCACATTTTTGCATAGTGTTTTTATTATATACTCAGTATAATATATTTATTAGTATAACTTACATAATTGATAACTTTACTATAAAATGTAATTTGACCCACAGCGATTAAATAGTTATCATTTAATCAGAAAATGCAGAAAAAATTGTTTAGTGTAATATTGAAATAAATTTTTGCTTATAAGGTGTTGAATTCTGAATATTTGATCAAAGAAAATGATATAACATGTTTAAAGTTCTAGTTACTTCGAAAGTAAACAATATATAATTGCTTCATTATATTTACATAAAGTTAATGCTTTCTTTCTAATGGACTAACGTACATAATTAAGCTATCCTTTTGTGATTGCCAGGAGTTGAGGGAAAAAAGTTAACGTTCAACGACTTTATTAGAATCATTTAATAGAGACTTGGATTGAATAAAATTAATATTTAATAAATTTAAGGTTTAAAAAAAATTAGAATATGTATTTGTCTTAAGTCTAATTGTACTTTCGTGTTTTAACAGTGATTTGATTTCGTTACAAATTAGTGTATGATTAATCTTATTCAACAGTTTTTATGCTAAATTGTTGATTTTAATATTCTTAATGTCTAAGAATGAAAATATTTTTAAATGAACTATAATTTTTTGATTATTATGAATAAAATTTTAATTTGATGAATTTAGCTCTTTTTTAATGAAAAATCACACTTATGAATGAAATTAGACGCACATAAAGGAGTAAGCCTACGATTGTCGAAATTCATTCGTAGATAAGGTTCGAATTTACTAACGAAAATGACATCCGAATTTGTTATTTGGCAAGTAGGTAGAGGTTTCGTTTAGCGTAGCCTTGAACGGTGATTTATTTTTTCATGCTTTTACCTAAATTTTTCTGAAAGTATAAATTTATTAAATAATATTATTAAATTCGAAATTTAAATAAAAAATGCAAAATACAAAAAATCTCACCAACAGTAATTGATAAAATCTTGAGTCCATGGACTCATCTTCAGATTCAGCTTGTTGTTTATCCTGCGGTGTTAACAAATTATCTGGAACTTCCGCGCGTTGCGGCACAAGTCCGCGTCGCGAGTAATAGGAAGGATCATCAATATCGGACATTATATCCGGTGGCATACTAAAAAAAATTCAAATTCTCGATTAAAACATTTTTGAATTTATCGTTCAAAAATCATCGTACCCATGTTTCAAGCGGGTGGCCTCAGTCTCATCATTAAGATTACGTGCTTGATCTTTAATGAGAACCTTGTCTCGGAGTCGGGCTGCGAGTTGAGATCGTCGATTCAATAATTTCGGTAGAAGTAATCGGTCACCGAGTGTCAAGGGCAATACTCTTTCATCGGTCAAGTAAACCTCCTGTCGCTGGGGCTCTGTGCCGCTTCGTTTACCATGCGCTACACATTAATTGTAAAAAGATTAAAAATCGAAAAAGGTATCTGATAAAAAATCATGTTATATATCTTACCACCCCAACATGAATGCCCATAACTTAAGCAAGAACCTGTAATAATAAATGACTCAAGTTAATTTTGTTTAAAAAAAAATATATGACATAAAGAGAAAAATGTTGTGTAAATTTTATCCGTCTAATTAAAAATCTTGAAAATTTAGAATTTTTAGTTTTCGTAAACACTTGCATAAAATTGTTTAATCTATTTTATAGAAATGTCAAAAATTGTATAGAACAGTTTTAGAAATTGCAGAAATTACTTATGAATACAATTTTTATTAATTCAACATAAAAGAAAATTATTCTGAAATTAATAAAGAACATTTTTATATAACTTTAAAAGAAGATACTGAAGTGAACTTGAATGACAATCAACGTCCCTAAAGTAGGGCATCAGAGTGCTTCAGTTCTACGATATGAAAAACACACTGCAGTATAGGGCTTAGCGCTATAAATCAACAGGTGCTTATTTCAAAACATGTAGTTTCCATAAACTTTGGATTAACTTTATGATTCACTTTAAAGAATATGATTTAATTTCAAAAACCCTTTTACACTAATTCAGTAGTCTTACAATATGAGAATAAATACTTAATAGTAGTGGACAATGACTGAAAATTTCTTAAGAAAGTTCCCTCAAAAAAATGACTATCGATAAAGGGTCTTGAAATTTTAACCACATATTATTGACAGTGCTATTCATATGTGTGAGAAATTTCAGGAAATTAAACCAAACCGAATAACCGAATAAACGAAATAGCGTGTCTAAAAGACGCTATTTTGTGTGATTATAAAAAAACGCATCGATAAAATCTTTTTAAAAGCTAGGAGATGACTGTTCAGTATGAACTAAAACATAGCTCAAAAACTAGAAAAACTTGAACAAACAGTTTTTGAGAAAAGTTAATGTAAAAACATTGCAAAACTAAAAAGTTAAACTTTTTGACCCCAAATCCAATTATTAAGGTTTTTAGGGTACTTTTAAACAAAAAAGTGCTCTTGCAAATTTTCTCTAAAATCGATTGTTCACGAGCTATAAACGATTCAAATTCAAACAATCTCAAGCAATGAATCTTTGCGATTTTTCATCTCAATAAGTATAAACTCTACGAAAAATTTTAAAAGAACAAAATAGCCTTAGAATTTGTCAAGGAAAGCGTATGCATTTTTTCAGATTTTTTCTAGACATATGCCCAAATTTATCGGTCAAGTCTGACGGAACCACCTTAAAGCCATAAATTTATGTCAGTGAATGCTGGAGGAGTTTTAAATTTTCAACTTTGCTTAAATGGAAAATTGTGGCTAAAAACTTTTAATGCTCTAAAAGCGCGTGGAAATAGTTCCAAATTAGTAAATTAGTGTAGTGAACGTAGGTGTACAGTATAACGTCAGTGTTGAGTAATATCGTTGTCGTCATACCGTTACATTTTGAAGTACTGATTATAATATAATACCGATAAACTTGAAACATCTTTTACGTACGTAAATCATAATCAAAATCGGTAGTATTCAATTTCCTTACCCGTGAATGAACGTAATTTGATTCATAATTTTATTAAAAATTGTGAAAGGGATAAAAAAATCTCCTTCTGGAACTATGTTCGGCTTACGAAAAAGTGAATCGGATTATATTTTTTTGCTTGTATTAGTTTTACGTTTATTCTTTTTTTACTTTTCTTATACCTTTTCAAATAGAGCAAAAAATTGGAAACTGTACAAATAAAACAATGCTACGATAAATTTGTAGCACATTAAGACTCAAAATTAATCCCAAGGATCATTCCAAACAATTCAACTGAATTGTTCCGTAGTTGTATAAGCAACCCAATTGAGAGTTGATTGGTTATTTCGATGATTATTATAAATATTTTATTACATTGAATGATTAATAAAACCAATTGTATATCTATAAGAAATCCGTCCATCCATTGATTTAGTTACCTTATACTATAAAATTTTATCTATTATTATTTCGCAATATCAGGCAATAATAAATAATCTACTTTGACAACATCGTTATAAAAGGCAGCCTGTAAGGACCCATCGAATCGAATAATGTCACATGAGCTTTGATCGGTACTTTTTTTATTGTATTGCTACGCGATAATGACGTCACAATTGAAAACGTAAAGTTCGCCAAGGGAAATTCATCTCGCTGAGTTTCAACTTCCTTTTCTCTATCATTTCCGTAGAGTTTTCAGGATATATACGAACGATTGGAAACTTACTAACAAATCAATGACGAGCGAATAAAATTTTTATGTTTTTATACATAATATATTGTTCCGGAGAAAATTGAAAACTGGTGAAACTGACGTGGTACGTTTTTTTTTCAATTCAGCGGTATTTATTACATTGTAAACATATTCTTCTGTGTATAGATTATATCAATGTCTGACATTTTTCATATTAAGTTAATATTCGAAGGCAATGGAATGTAAAAAAATCCCTTTTACCGCTCTAACAAAAAATTGCGGGAAAAGAGTGTTTACAAATTATTAAATTATGGCTCGTGTTGCAATTACTCGTTTTGCTGAAAAATTTTATGCCTCACGTATTTATTCATATAAAGAAATGAAACACGTATTGAAACAGCTATAATGTATTCTTAATACATTATTAGTAAAATTAAATTGTATGAACTAATACCTGTGGTGCTGCTGACAATAGCCAATGTTAGAAATGTAATAAACGCTGCGTGGGCTAACATTCCTACTCTAGTAACTGTAGAATGTTGTCTCATTTTGATTGACGTTGTTGAATGTTACAATAAATTAGATGGAATCTGAAATGGTAGATTTCTTGAATCAATAAGTTATTATTAGTTTTATAAATGCAGTATAATTTTGGACGCACATAAAAATTGTGCCAGCTAAATAGATTATTTTCGTACAAACTGAAAATGACAATTTTTTATTGATAAAAATTTTCAATTTTATTTTCTGAAGCTTATATTTTTTTCGTAATTTCTTAATGAAAGCTAAAAATAAATTCTAATAGTTGATGCTTGAAGTAAAATAGCTCGAATATGCATTTTCATTGACGCAATAGAGTTACTCATAAGTTTTGTTGGTCAATTGACTAATATTCAACGATAAAAAATATATCTTTCTCTTAATGTAAGAGTGACATTTTGATAGCAATTTTATTTCTTGATTAAAAAAAATTTTTCATGTCAATATTTAAATAAATCAATTTGAAAAATTAAACAAATACTTTCTTGTTTCGTCAACCAATCGCGAAAACTTTACTTATATTTAATTTTTCTTAGTGCAGGTAAACGGGTTCTTAACTTTGATAAAAATCTTATGAGAAAGTTTTAATTGAATGCGGTATGATTCGATGGCTTCGGCTCATATTACTTCTAGAAGAAATGAAATCAAATTAAGAATGAAATAATTTTAACATGAGATAAAGCTCTTAACAACAAGTAGTTATACAATACAAATTAGCAGTAAAATGGTATGAAATACGATCATTTTCATTAGATTTAGTATTGAAAAAGCCTATATGAGTCATTACATTTCAATTTGACTTTTTTTTATTATGTCTTTTTTGATTTTCTTGCAATGTGCTAGAGTATTATTATTTATTGAAATATAATATTCACCTATTCAATACATATTCAATGTATATTTTAATGTAAAGTATCACAATGCTTGACAAATTAATTGTTACGAAGTTTGTTAAACTATGTTTCTCTTTGAAATTAATTCATACAAATATGAATAACTATATCTAACACCAAGCGGTAGTATAATATTCCGTCCAAATCTATTTGACAATGAACTAGATTCATGAATCCTACATCACGTCCCAGTGTTAATGAATAAAATTAGTTTTGTTTTTATATTTGTGCAAGTTTTACTGTCTTTACGATAAATTGAAGTTTTCAAAAGATTGCAATGCATTCATTTGGAATGTATTTATCGGAAAAATATGCGGTGCATTCATAACATTGAAATTAAAAAAATGTATTCCTAAGTAGGAAAAAATCACGATTTTATGGATTGATTCTGCGTTGACTACGTAATAAGATATTTCGATTGATTGGCATCGTAAAAAATATGCATCAATTATTCATTTGAATACAATTACAATAAGTGGCAAACATGGCTCGATAATACATCAAAAATGCTCATCATATCATCTCATAATTTCATTTTTGATAGTTTTGAATAATTTTCATGTATTTTAAATCTAATCAATTCAATCTAAAACCTTGTCGGTACGTAGATTTGTGATTTTTTCCACGTGGATTACTTTAGAAATTGACACAGGTTTTAAGTAATTACTATTATTACTGTCAAATAATTTATATAGTGTAAAATTTTACGATCGGTCACGAATTTATTATTATATTTTCTAACAACCAAATTATGGCACTCGTAACTATGAAAATAATCATCTTTATCCAACAACTTACACAAATTTCAACCAAAGCTATCGCCGACGCCAATTAGTGAATGTACAATACCACTGGTTTCACTTAATATGTCATCACAAACTGTCCGTTGCGCAGAAAAAAGCCAGTCGTTACGAATCGAGCACTATAAATAATTCTCCTTCTTCTTATCTCCCTTGCAGATGCGGAAGCAGAGGATCGAGACTTACACCTGCCCTCGCATGATAGCCAGCATGAGGTTTTTATACGTGCAGAAATACGCGCGTAGTCCGTGCGCGCTTTCGCGCTCGCTCGCTCTCGTAAGCGCGCGCACCTTTTACGCCAGCAGCAGCAGCAGCAGCAGCAGCAGCATTGCAGCACACGCACGCCATAGGACTCGGGGAGCGAGAGAGACAGAGAGAGAGAGAGGCAAGAAAGAGAAAGAGAGAAGGGTGATACTTGCGTGCTGCACATCACCTGAATTACCCCGAGAGTATGAACATCTTCCCGTTTTTCGCGGGCTTCCTTATAGTTATAAGCTGCTGCTGTTTTAGCGTTAGCAGAGGGTACTTGTTTTTAATGGGGAATACGGAGAAAAGCATTGCGGCTTCTTACAGTTTGTAATTAAAAAGGTTTCACAAATAAATTCATTATACTTGCGAAGGGTATGCCGCAGAATGGAATGCATATTCAAAGTTAGGAAGGATATTTTTTAATTTTCGATGGAAAAATTTTTGAAGGAGAAGAAAAAAAATTTAATCAAGGGTAAACCGAAGCCTGGATGACAATGAAAACTTCCAACTACGTTTTCCGAGACGTCAACAGATATTTCTTTCCAAAAGAGCCACGTGGGTGTCTTCAATTTGTTGTTTTTTTTATAGACATTTCTGTAGTTATTTTAGAATAATATACCAGTGGGAGATTCGAGGAATGCGTGTTTGATAATATTCAGTTTTTACCTGGCTTCGTTATTTTTTAAATCTACAGATAAATCTGTGAATCGTTCGATTTAATAACTTATTTCTTTTTCCTTCAATGCGATAAATATATTTTTTTCTTCCAGATGAGTAATTGCTAACAAATAAGTCGAGCCACGACACGTTTGTACAACGACTTATAGCGAAGTTGAGCTAAGCGAACTAAAAGCTTCGACGTATTGAATGCGCACACCTTGCATTCCGACACACGAGAATTTTCTAAAGAAGATGACGTCCGAGACGCTGTTACACGAGTCATGAAAGTACATGAAACTCAATCATTTCATTCGGACGATATGAGACTTTGGCCGATAATACATACGTCAATGAGTGCAGCCTTAATATTGCAATACCACCTACCTGCGCATTCCACAATAACTCATTTACAAGATACTAATTTGATTAAATTCACAATACGCGATACATGACGCAGTTGCCATGAAATATAATTGCGACAACACACTTTACGAGCTTGAAAATCATCAATTTAAAATCATTTTCAGGGCCGTGCACAAGCTTTCAATAACACAACGCACAAGCCATCATAAAAAGCTAATGAAAGCGTGTGCGAAAAAAAAGAATAAAAGTAATCATTTGGTGTTTAAACATGTAGGGTTTATACCTAAGGCCAGATTTAATTTGCCGTGGCCGCACGGCGCCCGGCTGCGTATATCCACCCGCGAGAGAGAGAGAGAGTGAGAGAGAGATTCTGGAAAAGGCAAAAAGCGGTCGAGCAAATGCTCGGCTTGTGCACGCGGGGTAATGCGCTCAGGCGCGGCCAAGAGAAATCCTGGGAGCTATTTCGAATAATATACATATAAGATCAACGCTATATTTACGTATAGGTGCAGGCAGTGCGTACATAGTAAAATATATAAGGCGATTACGCGCGAGGTGGTCCGCGCGCGAAGGGCCACGCACCCACTACTGTTACTCTTACTGCTGCTGCTGCTGCTGCTTTTCGCCTTCTGGTCGCGGTATCGTCACGTAGGTATTATAATACGTCTCGTATACACCGCATTGTACGACGGTATATCAAATATTATATGTACCTTAGACTGACAATAAAAAAGTCGTTTTCTTGTAATATACGCATACGGGTTTTCCATTTAATTTAATGTAAATCAACACTCGTCTTGTAGCACGGGTTTGTTTCCTTCATATGAGCTGAAATTGTGAGGAGATTATTTTTTTGGGGGTTTGAAAACATTGTGGGGGCGTCCCGTCGATTAAAAAAAAATCGATTTTTTATTGTCAGTCTAATGTACATCCTGTCTTGTGGGAATGTGGGAGTTCATATATGTACTTCTCAGCCCTTTCCGTGCTGCACCTACGATTATTCTCGCACTTCTCGCAGCAATGCGATACGCACGCGACGTATTACAGCGGCACGTCTGGACGATTTCATTTCAACCACTCTTGCCAATTCTTATGTTCACTCGTCGAGTTCAACTCATATATTGAATTGCTTTTGAATTATTTTAAAGTAAAAATGTTTATGGAAGGAGCAGAAAAAAAGAATGAAAAATTTACGATTTCTCTTTCTCTTTCTCTCTCTCTCTCTCTCTAGCCCCGCCCGATACTCGCACCCAGCAAAAATATATCCGAGTTTATTTTACGTTTGTACGTCATATGTTATAGATATCTTTTTGCATATCGGGGCTTTCATATGTACGCGCGTGCACGCATCGACGATATAAATCTCGTTCACCGTGCGCGATACCTTTGAATTTGAAGAAGAAAAACGCGCGATCATCGCCGCTTTGTGCGATGCGCCGTAGGCTGACCAAATCCTGTTTTTACTACTTGGCTGGATTTACGTCGGAGTCGTACGGTATGCGTGTTGCGCTTACCGATGCAACAGCTATCGGATATATGCGATCTTTACGTCAGTAAAAGTGAGAGACTGGCTGCGGGATCGGGAAAGCTCAGCTCCTTTTCAGTTAAATCTTTTTATATATTTAAATAATAGCCGTAATTCTTTTGCGCATGAAATATTTCGTCTTACCGCGATTCTCGGAGAAGTAAAAATTATTCGTAAACGAGTACTTTTGACAGACGTTTCTACTGGAATATTCAAGTACAGTCATAACTGAGTGAAATTTTTATAATATATATTTTTTAAAAATTTTAAAAGTCGCCCTTAAAATCAATGATTATTACGTGAAAAAAAAGTATCAATAATAAAATAAATGCTGAGGTACTAATATTAATATTAAGACGATGTCGAAGCCATCCAAAAAATTCAAATTGCAATCCCGTTTTCTAAAATATTGCTGAATATTTCTCTAAAAGGCTCTATGGTGCCCTAAAAACTATCAAAATTAATTAAGATCACCATAAAATCTTTCAGGGAGTTTCGTTAGTCTTATTCAAAATATAAATAAAATTTTAGAAAACCAATTATTTGCTTTGAAACTTTGCATTACGAACGTTAATATTCAAATATAATGTTTCACCGTAAAAATTTGTTTGAAAAAACAAAAACGAATAATTTGACTGCAAAAAATCTCATTGACCCTTTGGTTATTAAGAAACAAATTGTTATGTGTAAAAATTCGTGGTTCATTAGTGAGTACCCTAACCGACGAATGAGCTGAAGCAACAATAATATGTGCTCATTCTATTGTATCGGCAGATAGAATATTGTTTTAAGAAATATAGCAAAGAAAACGTAGCATAATTATGAACAATGTCGATAAAAATGTGTTGGCTCATGAAAAAAAAACCTGTATTATTGTGTTATTTCGAAGTAGACATTTTTGATTTTTTAACGCAGTCAAAATTCGAGCTCCTCACGTCTCACTGAGCTCCCCTCTGAATCCTCCGAACCACCATGGAGAAATATGCACTATAACAGTCCAAAAATTGGATTTAAAATATGGCAACATTTTTGAAAATTACAAAACTTTAATTTATTGAAAATTAAGGCAAGTGTGTTGAAAAGTTCATATATCGGATACTTAGTAGTTCACAAGTTACCGATCGATGGCGTATATCCTAATTCTCGAAAACCAAAAAAGAAAAGACGAAGTTTTACTTTTAAGTACTTATGAATTGAATGTCAAAACAATTTCCTTTTTCGTCGAATGTTGTGATAATTGTAATTTCAATGAACTTACTACTAATAATTACTGACAAATCGTAAAACTCATGATAAAATCTGATTTTAAAAAATGCAGTATATTACTTACATTTTCAAGCAGAAAATTGATACACGACGATATAACAGTATCGGGAATATTTAAATTTTTAATTCATTTAGTTAGAGATCAATTGTTTTCCGTTGATGTATGCGTAAGATCTCGATCTTAAGCCTAAAAATTTTCAAGAAAACGTGCAAAGTTCGCGTGCAGCATATAAATACCCCTATCAATAAATTATGTCATTTGAAATACCGCAGGTGTACATCCAGGTCACGAAGTTTATATACGAGCAAATACGCGCGCAAACGTATACAGCTAGCCCATATAAAAAAAATGCGCGAACGACGCACGTGACGAATCATTGAAAATCGAGAGACAAAATTTTTTCGTCCATAACTTGAGGAGAAATAACCACCACCACCATCGTGAAAGTACGCGTGAAAGTTTATCAAAATAAACGTCGCGTATAAAGAACAACGTCGAGGTAAAAAAAAAACAACATCGGCAGGACGAAAGATATGATATACGGCCAAGGGAGTTTTTCATTTCAATGTTACACGGAGTTGCTTTCATGTACGCGCGCCGCACTAGCGATACCTATAAAACATATGTCAATATGTACGCTCGGCAAGTCTCACGACGCGCGTATACATCGTCGCTCTTTTTCTTGCCGCGCGCGCGCTGGTGCCCCGTGTGTGCTTAACTTATGAAAGTGTCTCCATACCCCTGTATATAACGGAAGAGTGTGTGCCGTTTCTTCTCTTTTTCGTCTTATTATTGCTGCTGTTGCTTCGTGCGATGAGATCGTGGGCGGAAAAGCCAGCACACACACACACACACACACTAGAACGAGAGAGAGAGAGAGAGAGAGAGAGATCGCCCCGATATATTTCGAGTCTGCTCCTAGGTACACTTACGCTCATTTGGACCCGTATCTTCTTTCAATTACAAGCAGTGGTATCCACCACGTAGAGGCGATATAAACGAGATGAATAATATTTTTCGATCGTGTGTCATCGCAGCCACCCCCTCCACCGCCGCTGCCGCCGTGCAATACGTCACGAGCACAACGTCGTTCTCTCACTTTGGGGGCTTCTCGG